AAAAAAAAAAAAAAAAAAAATGCCAGGTGTGGTGGCTCAAGCCTGCAATCCCAGCACTGTGGGAGGCCAAGGCGGGAGGATCACTGGAGGGCCAGGAGTTCGAGACCAGCCTGGCCAACATGGAGAAACCCCATCTCTACTAAAAATACAAAAAGTAGCCTGGCGTGGTGGCGCAGGCCTGTAATCCCAGCTACTTGGGTGGCTGAGGCATGAAAATCACTTGAGCCTAGGAGGCAAAGGTTGTGGTGAGCGAAGATCACACCACTGCACTCCAGCCTGGGCGACACAGCAAGACTCTATTTCGAAAAACAAAAAACAGACAAGAGAAAGGCCCTTGAAGACAAGTGTTTGTTTGCTCAGCTCTCTGGGCCATGCTGGGATGGAGATATGTTCTTGCCCCTTCTCTCCCTTCCCCGCTCCGGCTCCCCAACCCCAGGGTTCCACTGTTGGACCCGGGGGTGGTTCTTGCCTCCTCCTCCTCTATGGCCCCCACATGGTCCAGTGCCCTCCTGCCGCAGGACCGGCTGGCCTCCGGATGGGCTTCAAGCCCCTGGGACTCATCTCCTTCCCTGCCTGGGTCCCTTGGGCACAGCCTGGGAACCTCAGGCCCCTGCCCTGTCCTGGAGGACCATGTGAGGGACACCTGTGTGCAGCTGCTGCTCCAGAACAGGGGCCTTTCTGGGAGGGAGGACCAAGCCCCCACCCCTGGGAAGCCAAACACTAGAGCTTTCTGGGGTCTTCAGCATCCTTCCGGCCCCTTCCGGCCCCTCCCGGCTCCCGCATGCAGGTGTCCTGGCCACTGGGCCCAAGAGGGGCAGAGCAAAGCAGGAGCAGGGAGGCGTCTCAAGTGGCCCAGACCCGGGACACCTGCACTGCCTGGCTGGCACGGGCTGCTTGGGAAGCTCTCGCTGCAGGTGCCCCAAGGCTAGGAGGCACGAGCCTGCAGGGGACCTCGGGGCTAGCTGAGCCTGGCTCCAGCCTGCAGCACCGAAGCTGGGGGGCCCCCATCCCCTTTGGTCTTAGTCACCCCAGTGGGCCTCATTTACCCTTGGCCACCAGGGAAGAGGAGCTGGGGCCCCGTGCCAGTGCCATGTGGCAGAAAGCAGGGCCTCTGGGCCTGGTGCTTTGGGGACGCAGAGGCAGCACAACATGTCACAGTTGTCCTCCTGGGGGTTCTTCCCTTCCGGTTTATCTGCTGCTCTGGATTAATTTCCCCTCCTCTCATGTCACCACGGGCGAGGGGGCAGTGGGGCAGGCCCCTGTGACCTACAGCCAGGGATAAGTCCACAGAGAAAGGCACTGGGGTGACCTCTGCTCTGGGCACATGGTGGGTGCCTCCACTTGTCAGGAAGCCTGACCCCCAATCCCCTCCCTCCTGACACCTCTCCTGACAGCTGCCTGCCAGCCAAGGGCCTGGAAGGGGATCAGCCACTCAAGACTCTCAAGACAAGGAAGTGTGTTCGCCTCCAATAAACACACCTCGTCCCGCCTGTCCCCAAGTTATCAGCAGACACAGTGGTGCTGGTGCTGGTGCTGGTGCTGGTGGAAGTTTCAAAGTTGAGCCTGGTGAAAAGGCTCCACTTCTTCAGAGCCAGCTGCTACTGTGGTGACAGGGAGTTTTGCTTTATTGGAAAATAATTTCTGGTTGGAACTGACACGTGCAGTGTGGAAATGAGTTTTTGCTAAGCCGAAATTCATGGTTACAAAAAAATGTTTCAGCCGTGGGAGTTTGCACCCCAGGCAGAGCCGAAGCTGCTCAAGTGGGCGGGGGCATCGGAGCCGCCCATCTCGTACTGCCACACCTGCAAACCGGTGGGCGAGGAGGCCCCTTACCCTCTGTGGCATAAAAGGACGCATTTATGGATGATGAATCAGGCCCCAGCCCACTGAGCTGGTTTCAGAAGCCCGGTGAGGTCTGCTGGTTGCAGGTCAGGGAGCCAACCCTCTCCAACTCCTTCCACCACGAAGGAACAAGTGTCCCAGCCACTGGCATCCTCAGAGTCCCCCGGATGATCATCTCTGCCCAGCACTCACACCCTGCAAATCAGGCTAAGACAGCAGTGACAGGCCCGGAGGCTGGCAGGCCTAAGCAGCCCGATGGCAGTGCACCCTCCCAATTTCCCAGTGAGACGTGTGACCAGCAGGCACCCTGGGTACATGCTGAAGGCACTGGGCTGTCTCCACCCCTTCCCACATGGCAAAACGGCCTGGCGCCCAAGCACAGTGCCCTGGCAATGCTCGCCTGCTGGCAACAACAGCCAAAACGCCCGGGCAGCCTTCCGACACAGCCAGGAAGCGGGCTGTGCTCCGCCACACCTGCTGGCCCATGGATGCCAGGCAGACACGCCCGCCTGTAGCCAGATGTGGTGGCATTTACGGGATACGGGAGTGCCAGGCAGATAGGCTGTGTGAGACAGTTGCCTGGGAAACATCACCAGATCCTTGGGGCAGCAGAGCAGATGCTCGGGCCCACACATGGGTGCGAGAGTAGGGGTGTGCCTTGGTGCCCCTGGGCACCCCCAGCCTCAGTGGCGGAGTCATGGCACAGACCCGCCCCCAACCCCAAGAGCCGGAAAGCCAGTAGTAGCTGGGGAGGGCCCCGGCCCGGGAGACAGTGGTCCTGTTTCTGAACCCCACCCCAGCCATGGCCTGTCTCTGGGCCAGCATTCCCCACCAGACAGGGCCAGCTGCCCTCTCTCAAAGTCCCCAGCACCCCTTCAAACACTGTCCTGTTCACACCCTCCCACAGCCTGTCCTCCATCCCCATGTGTCAGGCTCAGCCCCCTGCCCCCTCAGCCCCCAGCCAGGGGCGGGCTTTCGTCAGCCCCAGACCCTGCTCTGACGTCCCCTCCCGAGAGAAGCTTCGCCAGCCCAGCCCAGCCCAGGCTTCTCTCTCCACCCCTCTGCCCTGCTGGGAAACTGTGAGCTCAGATGCTGGTTGGTCTTCCTAGGAGGGCGGTCCTGTGTGCTCTGTTCCCTGGGAAGCCTCGCAGAGTGCTTGGCACCAAGGAGCCGGTCAGGCAGTGGAGACCTCTCAGGGCACCCTCCTCTGGGGAAAACAAGTCACAGAAATCAAGCTGGGGGAGTGCTGTGGGTTGAGCAGTGTCTCCGAAGACTCATCTCCACCAGCACCTGAGGAAGTGGCCTCGCTCAGAAGCAAGGTCTGCGCTCATAGAATCAAATCAGGATGAGGCGAAACTGGGTTAGGGTTGGCTCTGAATGCAGTGTGACCAGTGTTCTTGTAAGAAAAGGAGAATTGGCCAGGTGTAATATCTCACGCCTGCAATCCCAGCACTTTGGGAGGCCGAGGCGGGCGGACCACTTGAGGTCAGGAGTTTGAGACCAGCCTGGCCAACATAGTGAAACCCCGTCTCTACTAAAAACTACAAAACTTAGCTGGGTGTGATGACGGGCGCCTGTAGTCTCAGCTACTCGGGAGGCTGAGGCAGGAGAATCGCTTGAACCCGGAAGGCAGAGGTTGCAGTAAGCTGAGATTGAGCCAC